TTATCAGATCAATCTCAGTTTGTACATGTTAACAATGAGTCCTCCATGCATGCCAAAGTTAGTCATGGAGTACCACAAGGATCTGTCCTCGGACCAATCCTGTTCACTTTATATGCTTCCTTTAGGCAATATTATCAGGAAATATTCCATAAACTTTCATTGTTATGCAGATGATACTCAGTTATATCTATCGATCAAGCCAGATGAAACTAATCAGTTAACTTCAAATGTGCCTTCAGGATGTTAAAACCTGGATGACCTGTAATTTTCTAATGTTAAACTCAGATAAAACTGAAGTTATTGTTCTGGGGCCTAAGCACCTCCGTGACGCATTATCTAAAGATATAGTTTCCCTTGATGGGATTGCCCTGGCCTCCAGCACCACTGTGAGGAATCTTGGAGTTATCTTTGATCAGGACATGTCGTTTAAGTCTCACATTAAGCAAATTTCAAGGACCGCCCTTTTCACCTACGTAATATTGCGAAAATCAGGAACATACTGTCTAAAAATGATGCAGAAAAACTAGTCCATGCATTTGTTAGTTCTAGACTGGATTACTGCAATTCCTTATTATCAGGCTGCTCGAAAAAGTCCATTAAGACTCTTCAGCTGATTCAGAATGCTGCAGCACGTGTTCTGACAGGAACCAGGAAAAGAGATGAACTATGTCTCAATTCTATTATATATTTATATATATATATATTATATATAATATTATATATATATATATTATATTATAATTCTATTTCTCCTGTTTTAGCTTCTTTGCATTGGCTTCCAGTAAAATCCAGAATAGAATTTAAAATCATTCTTCTTACCTACAAATGCTCTTAATGGTCAGGCACCATCTTATCTTAAAGAGCTCATAGTACATTACTAGCAGAGCACTGCACTCCCAGAATGCAGGGTTACTTGTGGTTCCTAGAGTCTCCAAAAGTAGACTAGGAGCCAGAGCATTCAGCTATCCTCCTCTCCTGTGGAACCAGGTTCCAGTTTGGGTTCAGGAGGCAGACACCATCTCCACATTTAAGAGCAGGCTTAAGACTTTCCTCTTTGATAAAGCTTATAGTTAGGGCTGGCTCAGGTGAGTCCTGAACCTTCCCTTAGTTATGCTGCTATAGGCCTAGACTGCTGGGGGATTTCCTATGATGCACTGAGCTCCTCTCTCCTCTACTTTCTCTCCCTCTGTATGCAACCTCATCCCATTATTGCATGTTACTAACACAACTTTTCCCCTTTCCGGTAGTCTTGTGCTTTCTCGTCCCTCTCCTCTCTCTTCCTATCACTTCCTGCAGGTGTTTCTGGCTCTGGAGCTGTGGAGTCTGGATCTGTGGCTGCGGGTCGCCTGCTGCCCCGTGTTCCTGCTCGGCACCCTCTGCTGCAACAACTATTGTTACTAGTCCTATTGTTATTATTGTTATTATAATCATTAACATTACGATTATTATCATTAACACTACTATAAATATCTGTACCATTTTTCATTTAGTCTATAGCAACATCACCTTTACTGTACCTCTGTGTGTATATTGTGTAGGCTGCCTCCCTCCCCTCTCTCTCTCCTTCCATCCCTCTCTTTTTCTCTCTGTTCCTCTCCTGCCCTCTCTCTCTCCCCCCCCTCTCTCTCTCCATCTCTCTCCTTCACCCCAACCGGTCGAGGCAGATGGCCGCCCACCCTGAACCATGGTTCTGCTCGAGGTTTCTGCCTCTTAAAAATAAGTTTTTCCTTGCCTCTGGGAACTGTTGGGCTTCTGTAAATAGCATCATAGAGTACAGTCTAGACCTGCTCTTTTATGAAAAGCGCTGTGAGATAACTGTTGTTGTGATTTGGCGCTATATAAATAAAATTGAATTGAATATATATATATATTTTATGGCATGCCGTTTAGGAAATAATATAATATATGAATTTTTTCAGTCTGAATATATGGAATGAAAGTCTGAATATATGGAATGAAAGTCTGAATATATGGAATGAAAGTCTGAATATATGGAATGAAAGTCTGAATATATGGAATGAAAGTCTCAATATATTGAATGGAAGTCTGAATATTGAATGGAAGTCTGAATATGGAATGAAAGTCTGAATATATGGAATGAAAGTCTGAATATATGGAATGAAAGTCTGAATACATGGAATGAAAGTCTGAATACATGGAATGAAAGTCTGAATACATGGAATGAAAGTCTGAATACATGGAATGAAAGTCTGAATACATGGAATGAAAGTCTGAATATATGGAATGAAGTCTCAATATATGGAATGAAAGTCTGAATATATGGAATGAAAGTCTGAATATGGAATGAAGTCTCAATATAGTGAATGAAAGTCTGAATATATGGAATGAAAGTCTGAATATATTTAATGAAAGTCTGAATATATGGAATGAAAGTCTGAATATATAATATGGAATGAAGTCTCAATATATTGAATGAAAGTCTGAATATATGGAATGAAAGTCTGAATATATGGAATGAAGTCTCAATATATGGAATGAAAGTCTGAATATATGGAATGAAAGTCTGAATATATGGAATGAAGTCTCAATATATGGAATGAAAGTCTGAATATATGGAATGAAAGTCTGAATATATGGAATGAAGTCTCAATATATGGAATGAAAGTCTGAATACATGGAATGAAAGTCTGAATATATGGAATGAAGTCTCAATATATGGAATGAAAGTCTGAATATATGGAATGAAAGTCTGAATATATGGAATGAAGTCTCAATATAGTGAATGAAAGTCTGAATATATGGAATGAAAGTCTGAATATATTTAATGAAAGTCTGAATATATGGAATGAAAGTCTGAATATATGGAATGAAAGTCTGAATATATGGAATGAAGTCTCAATATATTGAATGAAAATCTGAATATATGGAATGAAAGTCTGAATATATGGAATGAAGTCTCATATATGGAATGAAAGTCTGAATATATGGAATGAAAGTCTGAATATATTTAATGGAAGTCTCAATATATGGAATGGAAGTCTGAATATATGGAATGGAAGTCTGAATATATGGAATGGAAGTCTGAATATATTTAATGAAAGTCTGAATATATGGAATGAAAGTCTGAATATATTTAATGAAAGTCTGAATATATTTAATGAAAGTCTGAGATATGGAATGAAAGTCTGAATATATGGAAAAGTCTGAATATAGTGAATGAAATCTGACGTCATTGATATGAAGTGTGACACTGTTAGTGAATCAGCAAGAAAGTGTCCAACGTCCGCAATTTTGAGCAATGAAGAGATTATAAAAACACTGGCGAATGCATGTATGAGCCAAAATTTGGAAACCACATCCAGTACCGTTCTCCTGATCTAGAAATGTATTCCCTATTATCGTGGAAGACCAAATGCAGGAACCCTCCCAGTTCAGGCAGTTCCCGTTTATCAGGCAAACTGAAATACACCTTTAACGTCACAGATGCCCCCCACAACAACCCCTATATACAATCTTCGTATGTCCACCCAAAAGGGCTCAGGCAGTAACTTTTTAAAGAGTAAGATCCTGTGTTTAACCAGAAATAGCTGTTATATCGCTCTCTTCAAAGCCACCGAACTCCATTGAATAAAATTGTTACCGCTGCCAGGTTATTTTTTCTGTGACTTCGGTGTTTAAAAGATTAGTTCGGATGCGAACTAACTTAAGCTGTTGTGGGGGCACGTGTGAGGTTGAAGGCTTGATAAACGGGAACTGCCTGGGCTGGGAGGTTTCCTGCATTCAGTCTTCCACGATAATAGGGAATACATTTCTAGATCAGGAGAACGGTACTGGATGTGGTTTCCAGTATTATGGCGTGTACATGCATTTGCTAGTGTGTTTGTAATCTCTTCAATGCTCCAAATAGCTGACACTAGATTTCTTACTTATTCGCTCATAGTGTCACAATTACATCCATACGGATTAATCACATCAAAAACACAAGATGGCGCCAGTGCCTTAATGATGTCAGATGATGATTTCATTCCATATATTCAGACTTTCATTCAATATATTCAGACTTCCATTCAATATATTCAGACTTCCATTCCATATATTCAGACTTCCATTCTATATTCAAGGTTCATTCCATATATTCAGACTTTCATTCCATATTTCAGACTTTCATTCCATATATTCAGACTTTCATTCCATATATTCAGACTTTCATTCCATATTCAGACTTCCATTCTATATATTCAAGGTTCATTCCATATATTCAGACTTCCATTCCATATATTCAGACTTTCATTCCATATATTCAGACTTTCATTCCATATATTCAGACTTCCATTCCATATATTCAAGGTTCATTCCATATATTCAGACTTCCATTCCATATATTCAGACTTTCATTCCATATATTCAGACTTTCATTCCATATATTCAAGGTTCATTCCATATATTCAGACTTCCATTCCATATATTCAGACTTTCATTCCATATATTCAAGGTTCATTCCATATATTCAGACTTTCATTCCATATATTCAGACAGACAAACCATATATTATATTATTTCCTAAACGGCATGCCATAATATATGTATATATATATATATATATATATATATACACACACACAGCAGGTTTACTACAGCGGGATGAACCCAAAATAAACATTTTGCTGTGGTTAACCCTTTATCTTGTCTGCATGGGTTTGGGAGTTTTGCCATGTCATACTAAAAAATGATATAGTTGTTTTTCAGTGAGGTTAAGAGCTCATTTCTGTTTATTCCATACCTGGTCAATGTATGAAATCCTAATGACTCCTCTATGCATGTTATGTTTGGTGCAAGCAAAACTTACCTTTCTGTACCAACTTTAGAGAATCAGGGTTAGTGAGAAGTAACGTTACAGGAGTAAAAGTATCCATCATACTCCTGTACGGTAGATGGCGGTATGTATATATCTTTGAAGCTTTATATCCACCAGCGCCGTCGTATCCACCAATCCCAAGAGATGTAGGTTGTGGGCTTTGACTGCTTTGCTTTCGTCTCGTCGATGCTGTCCAATCAGGCGCCGCTAAAGCGAGACACCGCCAAGATCAGATTGTGAGACGCGCTGCTGTAGCAAGGCTAACAGAGAGTGGATAGAAAAGGCTAACAAACATTTTGCTAACTTGTGAGGTGCACCGGTAAGATGCATTTCTCGACTTGTGACTCGGTACCCAGCTACCACAAAAGAAAGTTATTGACGTTAGATATGTATTACCAGTTATTGTGTTAAAAAATATGTATTAATATACTACTAAAATACACTAGAGCTAACCGTGGTAAAAGTGAAGCTAATTCTGACAGTGTTGTCGATGACAGCTGTGGATTAGCTCGTCCACTAGCCGTAGCTAACGTATCGGCAGTTGGCTAACAAAGCGCCGATGGTGTCGGCTTTTCAACTGCAATCCTCAGTTAGCTCGTTGCTAAAATAATCATTAAGCATGCTAACCAGCAAACTAACGTTACCAGTCATACTTTATGCTTTAACTTTGTTCTTCTGACAAGTTGCTAACTCACCATATGTCACAAACGACTACGGAGTCATTGGCAGAGCTTTGGTTAGTAACATTATAACAAATCGGTACACGGTGATTGTGATCGATCTGGTTACATTAAAGTAACGTTAATGTAAACGGCTTTTATTAACGCTCGGGTCCTGAAACGTAATCAACACAAGTTCTAATTGTGTGTTCAACGGTTGAACAAACTACACTAGCATCGTTAATTTAGGCAACGGGTGAAATCTGTAAGGTCGATGTCTAATTCAAAATAATGATGATGATCAGGTGTGTAGTTGAATGCATTAAATACTACTAGGTTTTTCGAATGTAACTTAGGGTCGACAAACTCTTTTATTGTGCTTGTTGCTGACCGATAGGCAGCTCACAAATATATGAAAATATGAGATCCATGACTGTCAATTTAACATCAATAATCTAATTAACGTTACTAGTAAGTAACGGGAAAAGAAGTAGTTGTAGCAAAATATTTTGGGTGCAAATTTTATGTATCATTTAATTTACAGTCTGGATAAAACACCTTGTCATCTATTTCGTTAACTTCATCTGTTTACTCTTTCATTTGTTAGTCTTCTAACGTTATTGAAAACGATACTTTGTACACAGACTCGTCCAACAGGCAAATCCTGGCATCACTTACTGTACAAAGGCAAAACACAAAAACTTGAGGGAAAAATAAACTCAAGAGTTAAATACTCAACACTAATACAATATTTTGTCTCTTGAATTAACTATAAAATTATAGAAAAGTACTTCGACATTGCTTAGTTTTTTCCTGTTTGGTAGGGATTTAGACCTCCTCTTCCTCCATTCTCAAATGCCAACAACAACAGCCGTCGAAGAAACAGGAGTGCACTCGTAAGTGCACATAATCACTACTAACTTCGTTCACCGTGCGAAATGCACACACAATTCTTAAATGTTAGCCCATACTAGACTTTGCCTTGAACTTGCAGCACGGAATCAACAATCGCTAAATTTTATGTGAATCCTTTCAAAACGTGCATAAGCTAACTAGCTGGCTAACGCCACCAGGCTGAATCCAACGCTAACTGTTAGCAGTAACATTTAGCTAGCTGCATTCAACAAAAGATTGTTCATTGCTATTGCCGTATGATATGAATGCTGTTGCTACCGCATTTAATAATATATATTTAACCACATGGTGCTATTACTTTAGTCTCATTAATAGTTTTGCTCTGGTGAGATAAAGTTAGCATGTTTGCGTGACCTGTAGCAGAAGTTCGACGATGCCTCTCCTCCGGACGTGCTCGGTACCTGAAGTAGGCCTTGTGCACACTTAGCGTAGTAAAAGTTTTCAGCATCAAGGGATGGTTAAATGTGACTTTCGACATACACGGTGCATTCAGAAATGCCCCTCCATGGTTCATTCAATTTGAAATTGGTCTAAAATATACACAATATCCTTCAAATTTGTCTTGTAAGAAGAATACCCGGTAACTCAAGCTAACGTTAGTGATGTAGCTTTGTACAATGTGCTGGCATCAAGCAGTTCAGATGGGCTTGAAAAATAAGTTTAATTTCATTCCCAAAACAGAGTAAGATTTATTTAAGCTCAGGAAATATTATGGACAAATGTTATGTTTGGGTGAAACTAGAAACTTTAATAGTTTGCCCTCTTTCTGTCTTCAGGGGTCTGGACTAGTGACGAATAGGAGAAAATATTCTTTTTAGCCTGAAGCTCGACTCCTTCGGTCCTTTGGGATCATGGCTAAAGATGTAAGTAACTATATGCATGTAGGTAGGCACTGTAGCTGTGTGATAGATGAAGGTATGTGTTAAGTTGCTATACCTTAACAATCTCCCTTAACCTCATTTCTTCTTCTTTACTTATTTGTTTAACCGGACTAAGGTAGTGTCTTTAACGTTGTGATTGTTGGAGAATATTAAGTTTGTGTCCTTCACAGGCTGGTCTGCTTGAAACAAATGGAGAGCTGAAGGTTTTCATCGATCAGAATATGAGCCCCAGCAAAGGTATAAGTTACTAGTAATTGCTTTTATACAGTGATTCACACTATGCTCAGTATGGTGTTTACATTACATAAAGTCTAGTCTAATTGATTGCCTGTCCCACAAAGGAAAAAATGTATTTTCAAGTGGACACTTATAGGCTTGTAGATGGACAACAGGGGGCAATGGAGTATCAATCAAGAGCTCTACTCATTACAGTTCTTCTCATGTCTTCTATTAGGTGTCCTATCTTTAGTTACTGTCCATCCTACAGCTGCCCCTGTGGCCAAACAGCTACTACCCAAAACTCTTGGGCCATCCAATGTGAACATTGCTGCACCAATGCAAAATGTGTCCCACATGGTGAGTGATGCCCCACACAACTACCACACTGTACGGTCTTATAATTTCAGGCTTTTGTGCTCACATTGATTAATCAAATTTGTATGAGAATTCAGAACCTCTCAATAAATACACATATATCATCATATCTAAATCATCAGTAACCCGCAGGTGCATTTGTGTAAAGATTTGCTTGCTGAGTTTCTCTGCTGTGTCTTAGTGTTGTGTAAGCCCCCTCCATTATCATTGTGAGGTGACCGAGCGGAGGGTAGGTGGAGGCAGTTGATCCTAAGATTATCAACTCTACAGTCAGCAGGATTACACTCATCATCCCATTATATACATGGAATGTATACATAACGGAAATCAGCTTAGATATCACCTTAGTGAAGGAATAGATCACCTATCTTGTAGATGCTCTGTATTACTAATAGGGATGCAAATTTTAAGAAGTTTCTTTCATTGAACATTGACCATGTTCATGACCAATAATTAGTCAATAAAGATGTCCAAAAAACTATGTGTTCTTCCTCCAGTAAATCTTTAAACAAGTGCCACAAATTAAATAAAATAATTGTCATTCAACTTTACTGCTTCTGCTCCCCTTGTCATTAAATAACAAATAGCCTAACCAATTTAAAGTACCACGCAATAATTATGGTTTGCATTGAGGGTAATTACATACTGTGTTCACAATATTATGAGCTCAAGTCGTCCTAGTATCAACAAAATGAGTTGTAGCCTAAATCAAAAATGTGAGTGAAGTCGACAAGGACAACAACCAGTCCCATAATGTTGATAAGACAAAAGGGATCATTGTAGACCACTTCCAACTGCACACAAGTTGGTCCACTGTGGAGAGGGTCCAAATCACCAAATGTTCACATAACCAGTGACACTGCAGGTCCCTGAACACCACCAATCTAACAAAGAGCTCAGCAGATGATGCCTAAAGCGATTAAGACCCATCTAAACGTTACCTACTTCAGAATTACAAATGTCTGTTGAGTCCAACAACTGGACAATCAGCTCATCAACAACAGTTTACTGGGCCATCTTGTTTAATACTTTAATGATGTTGAGAGGGGAGACGTCTCCAACCTCTCAAGGTTCCTCATAGTGTCGGTCCTGCAGTGCTTTGCTCAACTGGTTTTGTTAGCAGTACTCGGCCATCGTTTGCATAGATGCTTGTATCCATTGCAAAAGTGACGAGTATTAGACTAACACAGCAAAGTACAGGGGGACTTGTCGAAAAGGCAGGGGAAAAAAATAACGAAACCGAAGTGAATGTGACGAGAAGACAGCACTATGAGTGAGAGGCTGTGTGGGCACTGCAAAGGTGTGTTGACATGGGGCCTGACTATTGTTTTAAGCCAGACTTCTGAACCTATCCTGTTGTAGGTGATTGGAACACCTCAGAGACCGACAGTATCCAATACCATTTTGGTAAACAGTCCACATACACCAAGTTCCCAGTTTCTCACTCAGAGTCAACCGTCCGATGCCTCTCCGTGGTCATCAGGGTAAGTCTTCAAAAAGTCCTTAAGTTTGTAAGCTTTAAACATCAGTGTGGATCTCCATGGAGATGAAGTGTTTTATCTTGTATGAAGCCCGATATCATTTCATAGAAAAGATAATGCAGTAAAATAGTTTTGACATATTAATCATTGTATCTGTTCTGTTTGCAGAAAACGTGGGAAAAAAGGGGAAAAAAACGGGAAGGGCTTGAGGCATTTCTCCATGAAAGTGTGTGAGAAGGTGCAGAAGAAAGGAGTAACTACCTACAATGAAGTGGCAGATGAACTGGTTGCAGAATTTAGCTCTTCAGACAACCACATGTCACCCAATGACTCGGTGAGTGCTGCAGCTGCATGAGATTTTCTCAACTTGAAAAAACAGTTTTCTAATTTTTAAACAATTTAGAAGGTTTTCTTAATATTGTGATTCTTGTTATTTTCATATTAGCATGTGTATGACCAGAAGAACATTCGGCGGCGCGTGTACGATGCACTTAATGTGCTCATGGCCATGAACATTATCTCTAAGGAGAAAAAAGAAATCAAATGGATTGGCCTTCCCACCAACTCAGCGCAAGAGTGCCAAAACCTAGAGGTAGAAATACAGTCCGATGACCGTTGTCACAATAGTTTGTGTTGGTGATGTCTTGCCTTTTACCTATGTTATAACGCTTTTATCATAACTTTTTTATTTATTTCAACTGTAGGTGGAGAGACAAAGGCGGTTGGAGAGAATTAAGCAGAAACAATCACAGCTTCAGGAGCTCATACTGCAGGTGGGAATGAACTGAGTGGGTCTACTTGTGTGTACTATGTGCTGGAGATGATTGTTCATTGTGAAGACAACCTCAAGCATCTATACTTGCTCTTTAATTTTCTGCTTTTCAGTAAAGCTTCTTATATTCTGCGCCCCCCTGTATGTAAATAGGAGTATAAAAATTTAAAAACTTTAACCATAAGCATTGTAATATGCATATAGCTAAATGAATACCTCGTGTCAATCTAAACAGAACGTTGTCTTTGTAAAGGTAAAATTTAAGGCTCAGCTGTTTTATTTCGATTGCATTAGAGTTTACAGGTGTAGATATTATAGTGGCCACTAAGTGTGTGTGTATATATGATTACTTAGGATACATAATGAATACACAAACAGCTTGATAATCCTAACAATTTAGTGCTACAGTTGTGGTACGAATTAGGTAAAACAACAGTTATCACAATATAACTTACTTAAATAACAATATAACAAATGTTCGATTGAAGTCATTTGAATCACGAATGAATTAGCACTCATTTTTTATATATATTGAGAAAAGTTACTGAGAAAACTTGAGCATATGTTTAAAAAAGAGGTCGTGACTATTTTGAATGTCCTACCTCAGATTTGTTAAGTGATCCACTGTTTGGCAAGTGTTTGTGTGGTTCTGACCATAAAGAATAGTTTAAAACCACAATTGTTTTTTTTTTCAACTTTCAGTCAGGAGCAAAAACCAGCCTTTAAACTTATATTGGTTGATATTTATTGATATCGAATGGTTTGACATTTTTATATCTCGATAACATTTTTGGCCATATCGCCCAGCCTTTGTACGAATCAGCAGGAGAAATTCTGTGCTGAGCGGGACTGCCCTAACAACGCAGTAGTATAAATCCAGCTAAAGCATTGCTGAAGAATGCAGCAGTAATGTTTTGGTTTTGCAATGTTGAATGTGCTGTCTGTCTAAACTTAAAGCTCCTCTGAAGCTGCTTCAAAGCTTTCATCTTTCTTTGATCCTGTCCTTACAGCAAATAGCTTTTAAGAACCTGGTTCAGCGGAACAGACAGACAGAGCAGCAGGCAAACAGACCTCCACCTCCCAACTCCATTATCCACCTTCCCTTCATTATTGTCAACACCAGCAAGAAAACAGTCATTGACTGCAGCATCTCTAATGACAAGTATGTGACTGTGCTAGCCTTCCAATTCGTTTACCTTCAAAGCCAATGTTCTTTAAATAAATAGCAAAAGAACAGTGCAGTGATTGTATTGTAAGTATACATTTAGATGATTTACCCCTCTAACCAGGTTTGACTTCAAGGATTATTATCTCTGGCAATCCTGGGTTTATATGATTTAATAGGAAATTTGTACGTCAAGGCAAATAATCAGTAGCCCAATACTATATATAATATAGTAATAATATTTTTAGGCTCGTAAAATGTCTTATTTGCCGGTTAATGGTTTTCTGGTCCTTGACTAGTAAGTAAAAATATTTGGAAATCTTGAGTGTCAAGGAATTAATTTTGGTTGTCAAGATGAGATGATAAACGGGCGCAGTTTCTTGAAGATGACTCTTCAGTTTGTAACGGTTTAGCATTTCAGCAGTCTTAAGTGTAAAACTTCCCACTTAAATAACAATCCATCTTTAGATTGCTGAACATGCATTGCATACTGGATAGGAGAGGGAAGAGCTAGACTAGTTAGAAGTAGTAATTCGGTTTACCGCTGAAATAAACTGTCCCAGCTAAATGTGAGGTAATTGTAATCCTTAAGGATTTGATTGTTTCAGGGTAACGCACAAAGTCTTGATCATTTTCAACTTCCTTTGAAATTTCTTGACTTTAAAATGTATCATTTGGGGTTGACTCCAAGTACTCCTAAGTTCTCTTTAAAACTTTCTTTGTGTCTAACGGAAGTTTGTGATAGCCTTTAAAGGTATTTTATACCTCTTCCCATCCATGCTTACCAATATTGGATATATTTCCAAATTGCATATTTAACTTGAACTTTAAAATTGGCCAACACAGAATTACACTTACAATGTGGAATGATATATTGAATTTCTTGTATTTACCATTCTATTAAACATTCACTGAAAGACTGTGCTAGAGGGTAACATTCTTAAACTACCTTTAAAGTAAATTGGGAACATAGAAGATAATTCACCCTCGCTTGTCGCCTGTTCTTTCTCACCTGCAGGTTCGAGTATTTGTTCAATTTTGACAGCATGTTTGAGATCCACGATGACATAGAGGTGCTGAAGCGTATGGGCATGGCCTGTGGTTTGGAGGTGGGAAAGTGTTCTCCAGAGGATCTGAAGGTCGCACGTAGCTTGGTGCCCAAAGCTCTGGAGCCCTACGTTATAGGTGGGTGCCATAGCCTCAAGCATGCCACAGCCTCAGTTTTGAACCAGTTCACTGTACCTGCAGTGAACTGGTTAGATCACGATCTGCAGGTGAAAGGCGCTTGCATGGATAACCATTTTCTTTGCGGCCAGTAAAAGTTTTGAAATTTTTCTGGTTAACATTGAAAGTAAATCCTGACACTGACCCAGTCTTGCCATTTCTTGTAAGTTGTTCATACACTACAAAATCACAGGTTATGATGTGCTGATTACATATAGTCAAGTAAGGTGGTGCAGTGACATTTTTACATTTTAATGATGCTTTCAGACCAAAAGCGAAGCGTGCGTTCGGGGCGGTGAGTTTACATACAAAGTCAATGCAAAGACGCGTAGAGCTGCGATTTCCTGTCGGCCGGTGCGAAGGGGGCGGGGCCGTCAATGCGAAGGAATTTGCGTGAGTTTAATATTTTCAATTCATTTACTCTCGGGAGGAGCTGGGAGTAAACTGCTTTTATTAAATTGGCTTTTTACTTTAGTTTTTGGGATTACAACGTTTATTTATTTATCTTCTCAGTAGCTAGAAAAAATAAGGGCAAAATTTGCCTGCCGACTGCAGTAATTTCCAAAAAAGCAATGCCAAGGTTTTTGGGTCAGGAAGTTTTAGTCTTGACCTGCAGTGGATGAAGTTGAAGTTTCTGGGATCCCTCTTCTGTATGTGCCGTGCCTCCAATATTACAGATACAAAGTTCTGTTTGACGCAAAGTTACATAAATTGTTGGGTGAAAGTCGTAGCCAGTTTATTTATACAAAGTGTGCTACCTTGCGAGTGCCTGCCTACACGCTTCCGGTGGGTCTTCATTGTAAATCCTGATTTATACTTCTGTGTCGATCTACGCCGTAGCCTGATTTGCACCTCCCCAAAAATGTAACTACACAACATAACACGGACTGCACTGTGGTCGGCTTGGTAGCATTGCATTTCCTCCAAAACCACAGGAAATGCACCGTGCATTGAAGTCAGTTTTACTAGCGGCCAATCCAGTGCCTGTAACATGGTGGCTCAATTTATTTTTGGCGTCACAACCCCCGCGAAATGACTAGTTTCACTATCAGAATTTGATTCATTCGGTCGATAACATTTGAAAAGTCTAGGAGAGCCAGACGATTATCATTTTATCCCCATTCAAATTAGCGTAGGTCTAACTGGAAGTTAGCGGGCTCGGCCAGTAAAAGTCAACACAGTGAACGCCATAACGCTACCACCAACTTGCATTTTGGTGGTGTAATTGCAGAACGATGCAGACACCAATGCAGAAGTATAAATTGGCCTTAACAGTGGTATGACTGCAGAGGTGACTACTTTAGTGATCATCTGTCATATTTCTTTATATTTCATAAGTATTTCCTTTTTTCCAGAGATGGCAAAAGGTCCCATCAGTAACGTCTACATCACTGGAGGGTCCTCTGCCAATGGAGCCCGTTACCCTGCAAGCAGGTGAGAGGTCTTACCCGTAAAAACCTAGTGTGACAGTATGCAGATGATGTTCTTCTCACCCCCTGCCCACTCTTATCTTCCTCCTCCTTGTAGTGATGGCTGCGCTGATGGCACTATGGCCTCCAGCTCAAATGACTCTCACTACAGTGGGTCTCGTGTGGAGACTCCAGTGTCTTATATGGGGGATGAAGATGACGAGGACGAGTATGATGAAAATGATGATGAAGACTAACCTGTCTACGCCTCACCACTCCAACAAGCACAGTCCTTCAAACCTCCTTCACCTTGGGAATTTAGTCCCCCTTTTTTGTGTGTGCTTCTTCAACCTTTCCCCCCTGTTTCCCATGCCTGTATTTCTGTCTGGCTTTCTCAGGGGTGTAGATGAATATTGAAAAGAACAGAAGGTGTATGTTGCACCCATCTTTTTCTGCTCCTGAATCACATGCACATGCACCACAGCTCTGGGGGAGGTGTCATCCAAGGGAACTGTAGTCTGGCCTGGCCACCACGCTGAAGTCTCTGTATGTCTCTTCCACTTCTCAATAAGCCATCCCATAAAAACACCCTGTAAAACTTACTGCTGTTGGAGAATGTATATTGTACTTGTTTAAATAGTTAATCCTATTACTTTGCAATTACATGTGGCAAACATGATGATGATCAAAATGTTCCAAGATGGCCAAAGTGTCTGCGTCAACATGCTGTGTTAGTGCAACCCCATGGATTCTGAATGGCCAAATACAATAGCCATGTCATCCCAGGATGGGGCTCCATCAGATGTGTTGATACTTTTTGTTTTGTGTTCTGGGCACTCATTTGAAATAGGTTCTTATCCCCCATTGTGTTGGGCTGGCTTCCTTCTGTTCTGTAGGCAGCTGCTTTATTGATCTTGTTTGCTAGTTGTTTGTTTTTTTGTGTGTGTGCGTGTTTGTTTTTTTTTTTTTTTTTTTTTGTATTCTGGAGTTGAGGAATTCTTGATCACCGCCCTGTTAACGCCTTGGTAGTGTTTACAAAATAATGGCACCAGCAAGGTAAAGACTTTATAACCCGGGCTCCTGATAGGTAAATAAGCTTTGTTTGTGAATTACGTATATGAATCCTACAACGATTGTAGCTTATAGAATCCTTTAGAGGCCAGTGATTAAAGATAGACCTTCAAAAATTATTGATGTAACAAAATGTGTGGTTGCATAGGTCTTTATGTATTCCCTTCAAAGATCTCCCTTTTAAAACTTAGCAACACATGTACTGACTCTTCCAAATACATTTTCTGTAATCTAATATAAGTTTGCAAATTAAATATAGATTGTTTTAATAACTTTGTATCTATAAATTGTGGGGATTATGCAGAAACACGGCCACTTGTTTGCGTCATGCCTGGCACAATGAGTGATCATTCTAATTTATTGGCAGAAATAATACTTCAGAGAATATCACATTTTATTTATTTTTGCATGCCCAACTCAAAGGCTTTTTACAAATTCAAGTCAACAACTGTATTCCTTAAACAGTTAACCCACCAACGAACCTGATAACAAAAAAAAAGAATCTGTTTTTAAGACCCTCAACTGATTTCAGACTCGTGAGGGTTGAGACTGGCTCCTAACTTTGCATGTGCTGGAGAAAGGTGGGTTTGGATTAAAGGGAGGTGTCTGCTTGTCAGAGGAAAGCCAGAGGAAAAACTACATGTTAGATACTTGGGAGGAGGATATCTATGAGGTGAGAACAATTGATTATATGCTCCTTTGCTCACCATGTCATTGGTCTTTTATATTATGCTACCGTTGTCTGTCGGCTTTTAATTTCTGTACATTGTGGCAGATTAACAAGGGCAGGTGCTGATATTAAGACTGGGCCCTCTATTTGAATGAGGTGCAAATGTTTTTGACATGGAGAACCTAGAAGGACCTAAATGAAGCACATGCTGCAGGCACTGAACTGGTTCTTTTCAGTGTCGATGTCTGTTTAATTAATTTAAAGTCTGATATTTAAACTCCTTTTCTTCTCAATCATTTGCACGTTAATGGGAAGGTTCTGATATTTTCATTAAAACAAAACTGATGTGCCTATTTGTACATTGAAAGGGATATTGGTCGCTGGAATGATTCTTCCTTTCCATATTGGCCACAAATTTCTAGATTTCACTGTCTGCAATGTGGGACAAAATCCACAGTCCTGGTTCTGTGTAAAATCAGTTTAATTAAAATGAATATAAGGCTTTGCCAGAGTCAGTCAAATCAAGTGTGTATCTTCCAAAGTTAGTCTTTTTACAGCAAAATCATGCTTCCACTGTGTTTCTTTGCAGAGCTGTGGCAGAGGGATAGTGACACAAAGCAGTGAGTTGGTATTATAAAGAGTATTCTGGAAGATAAACCCTTGATTTGTATAACTCAGACTGCCAATGCCTCATTCACTTAAGCTGAAAAATGTAACTTTACACTGAACTAATGCTGGATTATGTTCCACATCACAAGATGAAGGTCTCTTTGTGGCCAATATGGATAGGAGGAAGAATTACAGCAACCAATCATCCTTACTGGCATGTCACTGAGAGATAATTGAAACATTTGAACCCATTCTTTAATATTTTACACTTTACAGCGTTATTTATTTTAACATAAGATGTATGGGGGGGGACATACACCAATATATTGAAATTATCGCTAGGCCTCCGAGTTAACCATAAACAGGATTCCTTTTAATTCTTAGCAACTTGCTTGATTACAGTCCCACTGCTAATTGGTGCTTGCCAGTTGATTGAGTGGTGACAGTCCAGCTGCATATGCTGCCTGTGTTCTCTCGCATGTGCTTGCACACTTGGTCTGGGGCATAAGGGTGTTAATGGATTACTGAAAGGTGTTGACTCAGGTGTGTGTGTGTCTGAGGGTAGCACAGCGCGCACAGTGTATTGGGATCTAGTTGAGACACCAGCCTCAAGGTCCCATTCCTCTCTCATGCTCCCTCTGCCACTACTCTGTGATCTGTCTCCTGTTTTCTTACCTTTGCTTCATCCTGTTACTACCTCACCCTTGCACATTAGCGGGCGCCATTTATCCTCTGCCTCTGGTTTCTCTTTGCAATGTCCCCTCTCTGCATTGCTTAACAGTCATCTACCCTCAACATGGATATCGGAGGACTGACCACAGTGGTAGCAAATTCTGCTTACATCAATGCTCGTGGGAGCATCGATGGCTCTAACCCAGCAGCAGCCCGGGATAAGAAGTACCATTCTCGCCTCAAACTGCCCCACATCACTGTGTGTGAGGGCCTGAGGGACACCCTGGATTTGGCCTTTGACTCAGTCTGCGTGGAGCAGCCTATTGGCAAACGCCTCTTTAGGGAATTCTTGAATGCTAATCAAGAGTATCATGGGGCTTGCCGTTTGTGGAAAGACATCGAGGACTATGACATGGCGGAGGATTCTGAAAGGGTGAAGAAGGCCTCAAAGATTGTCCAGCGTTACATGGACCCCTCTGCCAAACACTACTGCCCGTTCCTGCCTGAGGACATCATAGTGAAGGTGAAGGAAGGCCAGGAGGCTGTAGCAGATGATTTGTTTGCTGCAGCATTGACCACGACGTTGGACTATCTGCGGGCCGCCCCCTACACTTTCTTCCTGGAGAGCATGTATCTGAAGAGGTTCCTGCAGTGGAAGTGGCTGGAGATGCAGCCCATGGATGCAGACTGGTTCCTAGATTTCCGTGTGCTGGGGAAAGGTGGGTTTGGGGAAGTGTCTGCCTGTCAGACGAAAGCCACAGGAAAACTGTATGCCTGTAAGAAACTCAACAAGAAGAGACTGAAGAAGAGGAAAGGCTATGAGGTGAGAGAACAGTTGTCACTCTTAATAATATGCTCCCTTTATTCTTTTGCAGCATAGTTTCCTGTCTGTCAGTCTTTTTATTAGACATAGTTTTAAAACGCACTGCACATTGATTCTGTTCATCAGCTGTGCCCATACATAAGATGGAGGACAAACTGAAACCCATGCTCCAGGGTTTGGGCACTTCACAGTTTGAAATGCCAAATATTTTCAGTGTTTACATTTTTGTTAATAACCCTGCAGCAAATAGAAGTTCTCTGAATCAGTGAAATAGTAATATATCAAAGTAAAGTAGGTTTCTAATGTGGGAATGATTTTGATGGTCAGAATGCATGAGTACAGTATTATCACATTTCCTTGCATGAGATTTCAGGGAAACAAAGACCTTGATGCATGTAGTGATTTGATTAAAAAAGGTATTTTGGCTGGCTTTATGCTCCAGAGAAAGTGCCCTGCGCTGAGCAGACTGCGATGGTGCTAATCATCTTTGTCCCTGCCTCTGTCTCATTTGGCTTTAGCCTGCAGTATTAAACAACTGAGACAGGGATAGAGTGATTACTGGGAGCTTTTGTGGAAAGCCCTTCTGAATGGAACTTCTTGGCACAGTTATATCTTGCCCTTGATTTGTCTGAGGTCATTCTTTGAAATTCACTTTAATGCCTTTCAGCACATTTCACTTCACCCAGATGGAAGAAAAGCCCCTGTAGTTTTGTTTTTCTCTTTTAAAAAATGTCAATGCACCTATTGTTTTTCAAAATTGTCTATCCTAACTTTCTCCTGTAGGGGGCGATGGTTGAGAAGAGGATTCTTGCGAGGGTTCACAGTCGCTTCATTGTGTCATTGGCGTACGCCTTCCAGACAAAGGAAGAACTTTGTCTGGTCATGACCATCATGAATGGAGGAGACCTCAAGTAACTTCACATTCTGACTCTCTCTATTTCAAAGTACAAACATGTACAGACTCACGGAAGAAACAGACATTCCTCATCCCTTCACTACAGTGTTGCTGTTTTAATTACATTCTATGTAATTTGGTTAGATAGAACAATATTCCTCCACAACACCTTTTCAATAACTAGATTGCCAACAGAAGGAGTGCAGTTGACCAAAAGGCTGATTTGACAGCGATGTAATAAGTCAGCTATGACACTAGATAGGAATAAATTTTGCGATTGCCCAAATGGGCCACAATTCATCCCTGACTGACAGTTCCTAACTATATCGTCTTTACAGTGGGATGGATTATATGTAATGGAATGCGCATTTGGTTGCTTTTAACAGCTTAAGTGTTGTATGTTAGTAGACATACGCATGTGGAAACAGCATGTCAATCAGTTACAGTATCTCAGTAACGTTCATGAGAGAAGGCGCATGTTATTGAAGAGACACTTGACTGCAGGCTTTATGCAAATTATAGAAGTTATTCTCAAGAGACACAGGGCCAGGACTTCATTTTGATCACAAGAATATCCCTGGGTGGTTCCTTTTAAAAAGCACCGTTGTAAGGGAGATTTGTAGATTAAAAACAAAAGTGCAGCATAATTACAACAGCAGAATGGTAGTATGCGTAATTGACATTTGTAAAACCCTTGTACCAATAACATATTGGCAACCTGTATATATGTAATACTGCAAATATATACAGATAATGTACCTTTTCATACACAATGGAGCAAAACCTCACCTGTTTTGTGTTCCCTGAAGGTACCATATCTACCTGGTGGATGAGAACAACCCAGGGTTTGATGAGCCCAGAGCCTGTTTTTACATTGCTCAGATCATCCAAGGCTTGGAGCACCTCCACCAGAAAAGAATCATCTACAGAGATCTCAAACCAGAAAATGTGCTGCTAGATAATGATGGTAATCATTTTGAGCCAAACACTAGGGGTAAAAATGCCATTGTCCATGTGCAATTAATAGCTAAATAGATGTATGTACATTGTCCACCAGGGAACGTGCGCATATCTGACCTGGGTCTTGCTGTGGAGCTAAAAGAAGGAAAAACAATGACCAAAGGATATGCTGGGACACCAGGTGGGTCTCATTTGTATCTATTAAGCAGTTACTAATATTTGAACTCAACTGTCAAACAAATATAGACCCCTCTCTCCCAATACCCCCCTCCCCCCATCCTTCGTGTGTACTAGCACTAATGTCCCCTGTTCCTGATTTGCTGGAACAATGTTGCGTGGCAAGGTCCACACCACTTTCTTTGTTTTCCATTTGCAGACCCCAGGCTGTGTAAGACAATCAGAGTTTTTTTCATAACACACAAAACAGTGAGCTAACAAACCGCGAAGGAATATTTGCTAAATTTAACGAAAAGTGTATTGGATTACAATCACTACACTGTACCTTTATTTCACTTAAATTGTATTTATATAGTTCCTTAAGTTTTCATATAGAGCAGGTCTAGACCATACTCTTTATGATCAGATTTTTCTTTTGGTACTTGCAGGCTACATGTCTCCAGAGATGCTGAAAGGAGAGAAGTATGACTATTCTGTCGACTACTTCACTCTGGGAGTGACACTGTTTGAGTTCATGGCTGCTAAGAACCCATTCAGAAACAGGGGGGAAAAGGTTAGTGGCCATTTATCAAACCTTGAGGCTTTATCCTTTAAACAAAATGGCTAACTTTGAGAACTAAATGAGGGGATGACAGTTAAGAATACTTGTCTCCTGTTTAGGTTGAACGTGAGGAGATGAAAGAGCGCATGCTGACCCGGGTGGTGGAATATCCAGAGAATTTCAGTGCGAATACAAAGTCCCTCTGTGATGGCCTTCTAGCCAAAGAAGTAAATCAGAGGATGGGTTTTAAGAATGAATGCTGCGATGAGATCAGAGCGCACCCATTTTTCAGTGGCATCAACTGGAGGAAACTGAATGCAGGTACCACCTTTCTGATCTTGTTCAGGGTTGTGTCTCACTTCAAGAAGTTTAAATAAACATTGGTATGAATAAGCACTTTTTTCAAAATAAAAAAGCATATTGATGAGATTTTAATTTCTATTTCACACATCATTCCAGGTATTCTACCTCCTCCTTTTGTCCCTGACCCTAAAGTGGTGTACGCTAAAAGTCTGGATGACGTTGGGGCTTTCTCCTCAGTGAAGGGAGTGACCTTGGATGATCCTGACAAGACCTTTTTTGACGAGTTCTCCTCAGGCAACATCCCCATCCCCTGGCAAGAGGAGATGATCGACATGGGCATTTATGGAGAGCTCAACGTTTGGGGTCCTGAAGGCAGCATCCCCAACGACCTCCGCAGGGAGTCCATACTAGAGCAGCCAAAGTCATCAACCTGCTGCATATCGTAGAGTCATTGAAACACCTTAAAAATACATCAACCATACAGTGTACAGACTTGTAGTTTTCTAGAACATGTGGCATGAGGACTCAAATACTCAGGACAGACACAAGTCTCTTTTCTGATTAAAGTGTCAGACTGAGACTCTAAACCTTTATTGGTGAGTGCAGGAAACAACAGAATGGAGGTGGATTTTCAACCTGGAATGGGCTTAAGCATAAATTTAGTTTGGAAAAAAAGAAAGTATTCATCGTCTTTGTCCCCTCTCTCTCTCTGTTTAATTTCTTCTCTTTGTGTGTGCATGTGTTAAATCATTGTAATGCTTTTAGATTTAAAATGCATTTGAAGTCACTTTTTTAAGCAGAAGTTTAGTTTTGTGGTATGTTTGGTGCTAAGTGACATGTTGAACATGTAAAATGTTTATATGGTAAATGTGCTCCTTTAGATGTATGCCATTTAATGAAAAGTGATTCTGTTCATTTATGAGTTTACTGTCCTTAGTTTTGACTATACACAGCTAATTGAATTGCTGCTGTTGAAATACTAAAAGCTAAGACAACAGAAACGCAAAGTTTCATGATTTTGGAAAATATTTTCTTATGTTTATTTCATGATTCATCATTGACTCCCTGCACAAATAGCCAACCTTTCATAAAGGTTTATGTAGTGTCGTTGAGACAAATTTGAATATAGATAATTTTAACAGCAAATCAATTTAATTTTCAAAACAAATTGTTTAGCAAAAGTGGAATAAAGTCAGACATCAAATGTATGAAAAGTTACTGGCAAATAAAAGTTACTGGCAAATAAAATAGCTTATTGAAATAGAAATTTGAGTCAGGAGCTTCATTTTTGCCTTCTGCTTCAGAACAGTTACAGCACTTTCCAGGAATGTTGTGTAAAGACACAAAACCAGACTTTTCTCTACATTGACTTAAATCAGCAAGTGGAAAATGGAATTTCCTTTTTTCCCTCAAAAAACAAAACCAAACACAAATCCTTTTGCGTCGTCTTCCACCCTTGAAGCTCCTCCATCACTCCTTTGCTGTGGCCTTGTATATCCTCACCTCCTGCTGTGGGAGCTCAATGAGCAAGGTGGTGTTGAAACTGCTCTTAAAGCACTCTGTGAACCTCAAGTCTGACTGGAAGCGGATCTTGTTGGCCCACAGCAGCATTGTTTGACTTCCTGGTCGGCAAAAGTGTCGCATGGTTTTCAGCAGTTCTTCCAGGTAGTCGTGGGGATAGACTACATCAGCTGCAAGCACGTAGTCGTAGTGGTAGGACGGGTAGGGAAAGTGTCGCTCCAGGTCCTGACCCCAGGTAAGGGCCGACACCTGAGGAGTGTAGCGGGACCGGCCCTTGGTGTTCCGCATTAGGTTAAAGGTCAGATTTGACAGGATGTCTGGCAGGTCAGTAGCTGTCACCCAAGCACCTGGAAAAGAGTAAAAAACAACAAGGTAGTTGAAATACAGATAGGAAAATCTAGGCTATACACCCCATTTTAGCCCATGCTAACCGCTAACGGTAGGAATGCAGTCACGGTCTGTCAGTTGTCCACCACTTTGGTCCATACTGAAATATCTCAACAATTATTTGCCATGAATATTGAAAAGAGAATGTGCTGTCAGAAGATGAAACCTAATGACTTTGGTGATCCTGACTTTCTGTGTAGCGTCACCATGATGTTGACATTTCTGGTTTTAAGTTAAAATGTCTCCATAACTACTGGATGGATTGCTCTGAAATTTGGTTCTGTTCACTTCAGGGTGAATCATAAAAACTTTGGTGACCCTTTAACTTTTCAGCATTTTCATTTAACAAAAACACTTTTAATAACAATTTATGACATTCCCAATAGCCTTAGCTGTAGTTAGTGTTTAGTGCTAACTGGCAAATGTTAGCTTGCAACGCGCTAAACAACGGTGAACAAAAAAATAAAAATGTAAAATCTTTGTCTCACCATTTTGAGAAGATAGATCAAGATTCAAAATGACTTGAATTGTCCCCATGGAAACTTGTTGTGGACATAAACGCTACCACAAAAAATGCATGCAATTATTGTGCAGTAACACACAAGTGCATTCAGTACATACAACACAGCAACACAGCCTCTCATTTCGCATCCTCCTTATGTCCCGAGTTTAGAAGATTCACTGATGGAGGGATGAAAGAGTTTTTATGCCTATTCAGGAATTTTTCCTCTATTTAATGGACCCCAATAGTACCTACCTGATGAGAGCAGTTTGTACTAATGTCTTTTCAAAACATTTGGAGGGAGAAATGATCCCCAAAACACCCTGAGTCTTCTCAAGATGTTGAATCACTGTTGAATCCAAGTGCCTACAGAATTCACATGGACAGTCCAAATAATTTCTTTCTTGTATTAGTATTTAAATGATGATGGTCCTTACACCACTGAACAAACTCTTTAACCTGAAACTATAGCCAGCCACCATGTGCTGTGGGTTACATGATGAGAAAACAGGCACAAAATAATCTCGTCTTCAGTAGTAGCCACTGGGCTTGGGTCTGAGAGCCACAGGCAGAGAAGTCAGAAGGAGACAGATTAACACATTGTTGGTTTTGGTCTTTTCATGGGACTTGTTGAAATGATACAATAACTCCGCCTTATCCTTTTAATACACAGATACAGTGGGGGAAAAAGTATTTGACCCCTTCTGATTTTGCAGGTTTGCCCACTTACAAAGAATGCAACAATCTACAATTTTAATCA